TTGGACAAAGATTTTTTTTTCCCAAAGTATCCATTTTTAATTATAGAACTTAAAAAAAAATCAGAGTCCTAATATAAATGCATAGTTGAAATTTTCACATCTCAATTTTGAGTTGTATATGGACTCTAGAGCTCACTGCAGCTTTCACTTCTCCCCTCAAAAAAAGAACTTCCAGTAAAATTAAGTCAGACACTGTCAATGCTAGCAAATTTACAAACGTAACAAATTGACCTTTACTTAGCGGTCAAAAATAGGGATATAAGTGACTAGTTGAGTAGTTGACTAGGTGTTTCTGCCCCCCGCTGCTCTGTATCAGAGGCAGCAAGCGAGGGAAGCAGGAGCCGGGGCTGGGGGGAGCCAGCTTAAAAGACGGTTCTCCCAGCACTGTCTTGAGGGGGGGTAAGGGAGGTAGAGGCACAGTGGGGGATCCAGTGCAAGCCAAGACTGAGCAGTCCTGGCTCTTGCTAGTTCCCAGATGCTGCACCTCTACTTTTCAAATGTAGTAAGAGCCGCCAGGCCCTTACTATATTTAAAAAGAGATCCATAGCGGTCTGGGACCTGGATTCCGCTATGGTCCCAGACCACTGCGGCTCTGCTTTTTAAAAGTGCCAGATGCTGCGTGTTTGCTTTTTAAATGTAGTAAGAGCTGTCAGACAAAGCAGAACCTCAGTGGTCTGGGGCTGGGCACAAGCTGGGACCACTGTGGCTCTGCTTTTTAAATGTTGTAAAAACCGCCTGGCTCTTATTAGTTTTAAAAAGCAGAGCTGCAGTGAACCCCCTTATCGATTAATCGAGTGATCGATGGAAATTCCATCAACTATTCGAGTAGCTTACTAACCGCTATTTAACATCCCTTGTCAAAAATCAGTTCTTGATTATACCTGTATAAATTCCATTGACTTCAGAATGTAACAGAGTTTTACTCAGAATTTGACATTAAAACAAATAACAGAAATTTCAGCAAATGATATTAAAAAATACCAGTGACCGAATAATTATTAAATAAAAATAGAGGGTCTGAATCTCTAGTGTGTTGCATCCATTTAGCCGGTGTATCTAGGGATATAAATACCTGTGAAAAATATTAACCAGTTAAGCGATTTAATTTTAATTGTTTACCTGGTTAATCCCTGGGGCAGGCTGCTCCAAGAAGGACCTCTGCTGCCAGGAGTCCTGCTGACCAGCCCATTGTGGTCAGGAGGCTGCTCTGACCTGACCTGCTGTGCTGCACCATGGATGGGCAGGTGGGGAGCTGCTCCAATCCTCACCAATCCCACTGCGCCTCAGTCGGGCGGGGAGCCGCATCGTCCGTGCATAGGCGGGCGAGGAGCTGCTCCCCAGCCAGGCCCTCTGGTTAACAGGTTACCTCATAAGCATGCTTTGAAACTTTGTACATCAGTTCAGCATTGAAGAAAACCGCCACCCATAAAGATTTTTCCCATTCTATCTTACTGTAGAAAGGCAAAGAATATTTAATATATGAACAGTGACTCTAGTTTCTCTTGCTAGGAAGTGTGTTTTATAGGTCTGTTTGGTAAACTATTAATTAACTGGCACTAAATCCCTGGCTTTGATTATTTCTTGGTTTTGTTTCCTTTTCTTTTGTTGCAGTGCTGCAGAGTAATCATTTCCTGCAGTTGCTAATAACCGATGATGTTGAAACTGCAACAGCAGTAATGTCCGTGTTACAGAATATTTTGAGAGTCAACAGGTTAGCTGCTTTTAAATAATTCTATTGATTTTTCTTTAATTATTTTTCATTTCAGATTTAAAGACCAGTCTGGAACTGGCTTTGTAAAATGCAAGTTTCTGCGTACCTCAGTCTCTTCTGGAAAAGTCTTCAAATGAGCAGTTATCTCTATACTTAAATTGCTTTGCTTTTTGTGAGCATAACTTTTTGCGCTTGCTTTACTTTCTGGAACAAGCGCTAGATTCCAGTGGACTGGAATATCTGTCAGGTTGTAGTACTCGCTCTGCCACTGCAGGTACCTCTACACTGCAGTAAAATACGCAGGGCTGGCCTAAGTCTGCTGACTTGGGCTTAAAGGGCAATAAAAATTGCAGTACAGGCAGTCCCCGAGTTACGCGGATCCGACTTATGTCGGATCCACAGTTACGAACGGGGCTTTTCTCGCCCCGGAGGACTGGAGCGGCGGGACGCCCAGATGCGCTGCAGTCCCGCCACCCCCGTCCTCCAGGGCGAGAAAAGCTGCTCCATGTCTCCCTGGTCTGCTGGGGGGGCGGACCAGCAGACCAGGGAGATGGAGCAAAGCCATGGAGGACGCGGGCGGTCCCGCCACCCGCGTCTCCCTGGTCTGCTGTGGGGGGGTGGTGCAGCTAGTGTCCCCTCTCCCCCCTCCCAGCAGACCAGGCTTTTCTTGCCTACGCCTGGGGTAGAGCAGCTGGGGCTAGCCAAGCTGTACCATATGTACATCTTTTTCTAATCTTTCCTCATAAGGGCCTCAGATTCCTCTACAGCAATTGGAATTGTTCACATGTGTGGTTCTCCCACAAGTGAAACTGATATAAAAGTGATGGGGAAACATACTGTATTTATCATATATCTCAATGTCAAACAATCTATTAAGTTATTAACTTCTGGAACATTGTTTTTACTATCATGATTTACTGCTATCTGAGCGAAGAATTCCCAATGTTTGTGGAGGGGAAAAGCATAGTGTTTCTAACAATTCTGAATCTAAGGGGATTATTTGTTTATATTGACATAATAGCAATTTGAACTTCTGTTGTATTTTTATTTAAAGCTGAGTTTTGGGTCACAGCTCGGATGCTATTTGGGGCCATCTGCCTGGAGGCTCAAATCTGATGAAAATTCTCATCTTAGTAGTTTGTTTCAGTAACACATTGAGAGAGACCACATCAATAAATCTTATTTTGCTGTTGAAACTGATCAGTTTCAGCAGCGGCTGACGCCAGTTCCGACTTACATACAGATTCAACTTAAGAACAAACCTACAGTCCCTATCTTGTACGTAACCTGGGGACTGCCTGTATAGATATTTGGGCTGGAGTCCTGGCTCTGGGGCCCTCCTCTTCACAGCACCTTAGAGCCCAGGCCCCAGACAAGCTCAGTCTACACTACAGTTTTACGGTCCCACAGCAGCGGCTGACGCCAGTTCCGACTTACATACAGATTCAACTTAAGAACAAACCTACAGTCCCTATCTTGTACGTAACCTGGGGACTGCCTGTATAGATATTTGGGCTGGAGTCCTGGCTCTGGGGCCCTCCTCTTCACAGCACCTTAGAGCCCAGGCCCCAGACAAGCTCAGTCTACACTACAGTTTTACGGTCCCACAGCCTGAGATCCACAAGCTCAAGTCAACTGACCATGCCAACTGCAGGCGTTTTATTAAAGTGTAGACATTCCCTGAATCACTTGTGATCTAGAGCAAGAGGTTTCCACTGGCAATTGAGTGACAAAGCTTTTGCTAATTATGTGCTTAAACTCTGCCTCCCCCCACCAGGGACAAAAACTGTGCCATAGTAAGTGGCAAGCCACAGAGCTCTCCTGCTGACAAAACAAATGGGGCTCATAGGGATGGAAGTTTTTTGTTCTCAAAAGTGCCAACAGTGTTTACACTACTTGACTTTTAAGTTTACCATTCTGCAAAAGGCAGATCATATGTAAAGCTACTATGGAGGGCAGGGGCAACTGGTGGGGGAGAATGCAGGGGGGCCCCCAACCACATGACCCTCCTGCACAGCCTGGTTAAGGGTTGGAACAACCTACCTCTGCTCCAGGTGCCACCTCTTCCCTGCCCCGCCCCCTGCCCTCTCCCCTCCACTTCCCCCCTCCTGCCCCATCTCCTTTTCCAACTCCCCCTGCCACACCTGAGGGATTAGCAGGCTGGTGTCTGGTGTCAGCAGCTGGATTCAGTCCCTCCCTCTTGCACTCCCCAGAAATGGCGGGGAAAGCAGAGCAACACAGCCCCAGCATGTTTGGCGTCGGTCATGTTGCTCTGTTTCTTCCAGTGAATGTGGGGATGGTCCCATCCCCTCTCTCGTGTGATATGCCAGGACACCAAAGCTGGGGCCTTTGTTTCT